GTAATCAAAAAAGATCTTCTTAGTCTTCTTTACATTATCCGAATGTCTTTTTCCCAAAATTTATTATCGCCATTTTCTTGTTTTATAATTTTTGATGGTTTTTGTGTTATTGAATTCCCTGTTCTTTCCTTGTTCTTCCCCTTTTCTTCCCCTTTTCTTCCCCTTTTCTTCCCCTTTTCTTCCCCTTTCTTAGCTTAAAACTTCCATTAGTTGAACAGAAAAAAAAAGCCCAGAAATTTTGTTAGAGTTCTTTAAAAGAAAAAGAAAAAGAAAAAGAAGAAGAAGAGAAAGATCCACATTGGCCTCAGAGAAAGTCCAAACACAATTTTCGACTCATTTTTGTGTGTTGGGGATTGAAATCTTTTTCGTCAACAAGAGGTTTTTTTTTGTGTGGATATCATTAATTGGTTTTTCTTATAATTTTATAATTTTTGAAAAGAACAAAGATTTTTTTGGGGAATAACAGCTTCTTACCGTGCTCGTTACCTAAATCTATTTCAACCCTCCTTTAATGGTGAACAAAAAAGTTTATACTGTATATTTAAGATTGCTTGCTACAATACCATATGCTTCTCGTGCTCGTTAAATCTATTTCATTATCGTTCTTAACACATTTCCGACTGTAGATCGAATTAGAAGGAAACGAATTTTCTAATCGATCAATGGATTAGAAATGAATTTTCTGATCGTTCAATGGATTAGAAATGAATTTTCTGATCTATCAATGGATTGAAAGTGAATTTTCTGATCGATCAATGGATTAGAAATGAATTTTCTGATCGATCAATGAATTAGAAATGAATTTTCTGATCTTTCAATGGATTAGAAATGAATTTTCTGATCTTCCAATGGATTAGAAATGAATTTTCTGATCTACCAATGGATTAGAAATGAATTTTCTGATCTTTCAATGGATTGAAAGTGAATTTTCTGATCTTTCAATGGATTGAAAGTGAATTTTCTGATCTATCAATGGATTGAAAGTGAATTTTCTGATCTTTCAATGGATTGAAAGTGAATTTTCTGATCTATCAATGGATTAGAAATGAATTTTCTGATCTTCCAAAGGATTGAAAGTGAATTTTCTGATCTTCCAATGGATTGAAAGTGAATTTTCTGATCTACCAATGGATTAGAAATGAATTTTCTGATACATCAATGAATTGGAAGCAAAGTAGTTTTTAAGTTTTTAAGTAGATTTTGATCCGATTAAGCTCAAAATTTACAATTACACTCTTTCGATGATCGCAAATCCGATTTCAGCATTCGTTTCTGACTAAAGTACACCTTAGGTTTGGCATTAGTACTGCAACGTAGTGGCTGGTGGATCGTACCTGAATTTCGTACTTTCTTAAGGTGAATTTTCGTAAAAATTTGTACTCAGGGGATTTTCGAGGATAGGGAATTCGAATCTGGCATTAGTTTTCGAAATAATGTACTTCACACAGTTTAGCATGACTGTTTTTTTTTTTGCTATGATCAAAGGCGTTTAAGAAATTTGCAGAAAAGTGGCTAAAAAGGGGAATGTAGAACCGCTGTGCTCATTATCGAGTCTTTCCGAGAGTTGCCTCAATCCATTTCCCCTTTTTACATGTCTGTCTTATAAAAAAAGAGAGAAAAAAGGGACGAAAAAGACTGGACTCAAGCATAAGAAATACGGAGAAATCTTCTCATTTTCTTTTGTTCTTTCAATTACTCAATGGGGTTTCATGCGTAATTCGTCGGATAAACGATGATAAACTTTGGTAGACTTTGGTAGACTTTGGTAGACTTTGGTAGGCTTTGGTAAACTTTGGTAGACTTTGGTAGACGTTGGTAGACTTTGGTAGACTTTGGTAGACTTTGGTAGACTTTGATAGACGATGATAAACTTTGATAAACTTTGGTAGACTTTGGTAGACTTTGGTAGACTTTGATAAACTTCCATAAACTTTGGATAAACTTGATGAACTTGATGAACTATTTAACTAAACTTTTCCAAGACGTTTAATGACTCAGTAAAGTGTGTCAATTTCTTTCAAATCCTGTTTGTTTCAATGAGTTTTGTGCACTCGAAATAATTCTCAGTTTATTCACGTTTTCCCTTTTGATTTCCTATTTCAACTTTGGTTATGAAAAACGAGAAGAAGTGTATGATTTACACTTCCGGACACCCCCATTGCCCTTTCATAACCTCTATAAACCAGCTGAAATCAAGAAATGACTTCATTTTCAGTTCATTTTCAATTCATTTTCAATTCAATTTTATAAATTTTTCCCTAATTCTGAACATCCTTTTATGCAAATCTATATTAAAGAAAACTTTTCATCGACATAAACCGAATGACTCACTTGTATTGTAAAGTGTCAATTTCTCTGAAATTCTAGTGTTTCAATGAGTTTTGTGCACTTGAAATAATTCTCAGTTTATTCTCGTTTTCCCTTTTGATTTCCTATTTCAACTTTGGTTATGAAAAACGAGAAGAAGTGTATGATTTACACTTCCGGACACTCCCATTGCTCCTTCATAACCCCTATAAACCAGCTGAAATCAAGAAATGACTTCATTTTCAGTTCATTTTCAGTTCAATTTTATAAAATTCTCCCTAATTCTGAACATCCTTTTATGCAAATCTATATTCCGGCTTTCTAAATGATACTAATTTTAAGTACCTATTTCAAATTTGGTTATGAAAAACGACAAGAAGTGTATGATTTACACTTCCGGACACTCCCATTGCCCCTTCATAACCCCTATAAACCAGCTGAAATCAAGAAATGACTTCATTTTCAGTTCATTTTCAATTCATTTTCAGTTCATTTTCAATTCAATTTCAATTCAATTTTATAAAATTCTCCTTAATTTTGAAAATCCTTTTATGCAAAATCTATATTCCGGCTTTCTAAATGACACTAATTTTAAGTAACTATAGCACTTAAAATGTCATTTTTCAAGTGATTAGTCCAATTTTCGCATCATTCTTTTCATTGAATAATATCAAAATTGAGTCACTACGTTGACAGTCGTTTTCATTTCTAGCAGTTTTAGTACATTAGTTTTCTAAAATAATGCAAATAAATGCATTTTAGAAAGCTCATTACTTAAAGGGGACAAAACCTAGTCAAAATACTTTTATTCAATAAAAGCAAATAAATTTTCATAGATCTGACCACAACTGCAATTCTTCAACCAAAATTGGCTTTGTTTCTTTTGATTTAAAAAAGTTTATGAATCATAGAAAAAAAGAGATGATCAAGAAGTTGGAGAGATTTTCCGGAACATTGCTCTTATTCTTTTTCGACTTTTCTTTTGCTTGTTGCCTCTTCCTTTTTTTGTTTCTTCAAGATAGACATGTCCCATTTCCCATTTATAGTGACCGGCATTGAAAAGAGAGAGAAAAATGAAAGAAAGGAAGGGAGGGAAGGAAGGGAAGGAAGGGAAGGAAGGGAAGGGAAGGAAGGGAAGGGAAGGGAAAGAAAGGGAAGGGAGGAAGGGAGGGGGGGGGGAGGGGGGGGGGGGGGGGGGGGGGGGGGGGGGGGGGGGGGGGGGGAAGAGGGAAGGGAAAGAAAGGGAAGGGAAAGAAAGGGAAGGGAAAGAAAGGGAAGGGAAAGAAAGGGAAGAGAAAGAAAGGGAAGGGAAAGAAAGGGATTGAGTGACAAAGAATGGGTGAATAAAGTGAATGAAGTGAATGAAATGAATGAGAAAGAAAGAAAGAAAGAAAGAACAAGAGTCCCGAACAAGCTTTCACCCACCCCACCCACCATATTTCATCAATTCCTCGATTTTCTACAATTCTCCTTAAAATTTTGCCTAGATTTTCTACAACAAACTGAATTGTCATTACAGTCTGTCATTACTGAATTTATTCATTTCAATACAAATTCTTGAACTATAAGCTCGCTAAAACTGTACAATGGCTCACAGGTGAAATTAGGTTTCAAAAAATGAGTTGTATAGCTAAATCTCGAATCTTTTCTCTATTTTCTGTATTCGTTTCTTTCCAAAATTTCCTATACAATGTAACTTTTACTTTTTAGAAGATAGAGTAGAAGATAAAGTAGAAGATAGAGTAGAAGATAGAGTAGAAGTTAAAGTAGAAGGGAGAATAGAAGATAGAGTAGAAGATAGAGTAGAAGTTAAAGTAGAAGATAAAGTAGAAGATAGAGTAGAAAATAGAGTAGAAGATAAAGTAGAAGGGAGAATAGAAGATAAAGTAGAAGATAGATTAGAAGTTAAAGTAGAAGATAGAGTAGAAGATAGAGTAGAAGTTAAAGTAGAAGTTAAAGTAGAAAATAGAGTAGAAGATAAAGTAGAAGATAAAGTAGAAGATAGAGTAGAAGTTAAAGTAGAAGTTAAAGTAGAAGATAGAGTAGAAGATAGAGTAGAAGTTAAAGTAGAAGTTAAAGTAGAAGATAGAGTAGAAGTTAAAGTAGAAGTTAAAGTAGAAGATAGAGTAGAAGATAGAGTAGAAGTTAAAGTAGAAGTTAAAGTAGAAGATAGAGTAGAAGTTTCATTTAAGTATGCAATAGCTACAGTATTCCTGTACAAGTGATTTGTAAGCTACATTTGCTCATTTTACTACTTCTTGTTCTTACTCTACTCAGCTAGATCTTTGAATCATATATGAAATATCCTCGTAAACCTTTACTTACTCTCCTCTCCATTCTCCAAGACAACAACATCCAACTTCTTCCCTTTTCCTCCCTCTTCTCTTCTTTTTGTTTCCCTCACCGATTTATCATCTCTATTCGTTTCTTTTCTTTATTTTTATGTTGTTGTCTTCTTTTTTGTTGATCTTATTTCATTCTCTATGAAGTAAAATCTTTTCTTTCTCTATTCTCAACGCATTTTCCTAATCCAATTCTCTTTTTTCCTTCATTTTTTTCATCTTTGAGATCAAAACAGTTCAACTTTTTATTGAAATGAAATGAAAAATTGTTTCTTTTCATTTTACATTACATTTTACAACAAAAACAATTTTACAGATAAATATTCAAATAAATATTCTTCTTTATATTCGATGTCTCAAGATGAGAGCCTTGAAGGATCTCAAGGATCGGTGAATTCGGAATGGGATTCACTTTCAATAGAGAATGGATCATCAAAAGGAAATGGCGAAAAAGGGAATCATGCAAGTTGGCCATTGCAAAGACCAGCTTTGAGGAAACAAAGATCACAATCGGCGGTGAGTGAAATCGATTTGAGATCACTTAGAGATCAGGCAAAATTTGTCAATCAATGGCTTCATCAGAAAAACAAAAATGATGTCTTTTTGTTTCTGAACCTGAACGGTTTGATGTGTGGCTTTGCGACAATCGGCGGTGGGTTCATCGATTCGAGAAAAGTTAGAATGAGTCACGTCGATCAATGGCTCGATTAGCAATAAACGAAAAGCGATGTTTTTTTTTTTGTTTCCCTGAACGGCTTGATGTGTTGATGGCTTGAGAAAGATCTCTCTAAATCAACAATAGACTTTTGTGGCTAAGCAACTTTCTTTCTAAATTGCTTTCAAACCTTTCAAACTTGTTACAAGGTTTTTGAATAAAGAACTGATCAGATTCTTTTTGATCAGATCAGAAATCAGATGATCAGATCAGAAATCAGATGATCAGATCATTGAAAAATCATTTCCAATGCTTTCTTTTTTTCTTTGTGCATTTGTTGTCATTTTCAGCAACAAGATCGATCTGCAATTCTTCTCGATTTGGAGTCACTTGACGTTGGGAAAGATTGGAATATACGAAAACTTTCAAAAATCAATGTGGGTAATAAAGAATTGTAGAAAAAGAAAGAAGAAAAGGAAAAAGAACAAAAGAAAGAAGACACAAAAATGAATTCAATTTCATTTGTTAATTGATTAGGCAGTGAGCAAACGAGTGTCCTTTTTGCATCCAATCACCCGAGAATCAAGAGCTCATTCAGCGGTATTTTCAAACGATTTTTTTTTGACACTTTTTCAGTCAATCTTTTGCAAATATTTCGAACTTATCTTTATATAAAAATGATTTCCTTTAAAAAGTCTACATTTTGACTGATCATTTGTCGATTTTTGCGTGAATGGCACTTTCTGAAATAACGCTTTTGTGTGATCTAATTCAAGTCAAAGTTCGAGGCAAATTCGTGCAAAATTTCGTCTTTTTTTTCCGCTTTTTAGATATTTTTTCTAGAATTTTTACAAAATTTTAATATTTACTCATTCATTTTTCTTAATCTAAAGTGTTCGCTTTTCATTTTTTTTCATTAAAAGGAGGTACACTAATTTCCGTCGTTTTATTTACGCAACAGGATCATTTGTGCAACAGGATCATTTACGCAGCTGGATCATTTACGCAACTGGATCATTTGCGCAACTGGATCATTGGATGGATCAATTGGATCATTTGCGCAGCTTGCCATCACTTTCTTTGAAGTGGGTCAATCTTTATGATTTCTAGTGTGATTTTGTAGATCTTAATAAATGCAATAAAATGACACTAGAAATCATAAAGGTTGGACCATTTAGAAGAAAGTTATGGCGAGTTGTGCGCAAATGATCCAATTGATCCATCCAATGATCCAGTTGCGCCAAAGGTCCTGTTGCGCAAATTATCCTATTGCGCAAATGATCCAGTTGTGCAAATGATCCAGTTGCGTAAATGATCCTGTTGCGCCAAAGATCCAGTTGCGCCAAAGATCCAGTTGCGCCAAAGATCCAGTTGCGTCAAAGATCCAGTTGCGCAAATGATCCAGTTGCGCCAAAGATCCAGTTGCGTCAAAGATCCAGTTGCGCAAATGATCCAGTTGCGCAAATAAAATGACGGAAATTAACCAACCCCATTAAAAGCTTAGAAACATTCATCATTTACATGATATGAAATAAGAAAATCGATTTTTAGCCTCGACAAGTTGGCGAGCTTGTACCACCAATTGTTTTCACGTCATCATCCCGAACAGTCACTCCGGGAAATTCGCCAAGAAGAGGAACATCAAAGAAAATGAATGGCGGACGAGCAAGTGAACCACGTGAGTTGAAACAAAGAAAAGAAATCAATTAAATATTAATTAAATATAAATCTATAACATTTTATCATATAAAAACGGTGATTTCCTCGTCTTGAAATTTCTCAGACACTTTTCCTTTAAAATTGATGCCTTTAATACTTTTAATACTATAATTTTTCTCTAATAATAAATTCAAAAAAAGTCATTTCAAAATCTGAGCGATTTTTGATATTTTCGAGTTCATTTTTTCGCTTTTCAAGAGTTTTTTTTCTTTAATTATTTAGTCAAATTTCGATTCTTTTTTAGAAAAATCAAAAAAGTTTATTTGAGAATTTGCGAAGAAAAAGCTCATCATCGTACTGATTTTAATTATTTGTATATTATTTTTAAAGAAAGCTTATGGCTATGTTTTACTTTATCACTGAAACGCTCACTTTCTAGCATATTTAGTCGATTATCTTTACAAGAGATCGGCGACTTCTTTAAGTGGAATTTGTTTACAAAGAATCTCAAAATTGTTGTGCTTATAGCTAAAAAGATTGAAATATTTGTTTCTTTCTTTCTTCCTTTCTTTCTTTCTTTCTTTCTTTCTTTCTTCAGCTTCTTCCCCTTTTTCTCCTTCTTTCTCTCATCATTTTTCCTTACTTTGATTCAGAATGATGATTTTTAAATGAAAACTTCTCTATTTTCTTTATTTTCTTGATTCTTTCTTTCTTTCTTTCTTTCTTTCTTTCTTTCTTCCTTTCTTTCTTTCTTTCTTTCTTTCTTTCTTTCTTCAAATCCATTCACTTTTCTCTTTTCTTTTTTGTTCTTCATCACTCAAAACCCTTCTCGTTGCTAAAACCAAAAAAAAAAAAGGGAAATTTTCGTTTTTGGTGAAACGCGACCAGAAAAAAATATGTAATCTCTTCAACTTGTATTATGAAAGTTTTCTTTTAGTGTAAAACTTTATTCTTTAATCAATCAACAATTCTTCTTGTAAGAATCTAAGTCTATCTTAGTCTATCTAAGTCTAAGAAGTCTATCTTACTCTAATCCTACTCATTTGTAAAACTAATAGAAAAGTCTAACGTTTTTTTTTCATTAATTCATTACTTTTTTCTAATTTTCTAATTTCATCTTGTTCTTTTTTGAAATAAATGGATAAATGAAAGGCTAAACAACGAGAATTTTCTCATTTTCTTCTTGGAGTTTCAACTTTAAGAGAAAAAGAAAGGCAAGGCCCATTTTGTGAGAAAAAGAAAAGAAGAAAAAGACTCATAAAATCTTTCTTTTATTTCTTTTATTTCTTTTCTCTTCCCCATCCAGATCAAGCAATCAAAAAAAGGTGGATCTGAGAGGAAATCCTTTTGACTGATTGAATGTTGCAAAAATTGAATGTTTTCTTTGTCAGTGTATCATTGAAATTGGATTCATCAACTTGTTACAGTCATCGAATTCGTTTTTTTCATTTTCTCAATTTATTTCAAATATAATTTTAGGTAAATCAAGCAATGTTAGACCAGAATACGATTGTCGGCTAAAAAAGCTTGTTCTCGTAGGGCTAGAAAAACTTGTTCTGTTCCTAGCTTTGCTGCAAATTTGTCCCAAAAGAAGGCTTAGCTTAGTTGGCAAAAAAAACCAATGACTTTCCATAGAATTTATCTTAAAACATTGGCTTGGCTTGATAATTTGACTTTTTTGGTAATTTGGCTTAGCAGCTTCTTGCCAGACTTTAGCCTGCTCGTCAGAGTGTTTCAAATGATCGAGTAGAGTACAGACAGATACAAAAGTAGAGTACAGATCGTTTGAAACACTCTGATTCCTAGATAGCTAGATTTCTAGATAGCTAGATTTCTAGATAGCTGGATTTCTAGATAGCTAGATTCCTAGATAGCTAGATTCCTAGATAGCTAGATTTCTAAATAGCTAGATTCCTAGATAGCTAGATTCCTAGATTAGCTAGATTCCTAGATAGCTAGATTCCTAGATAGCTAGATTCCTAGATAGCTAGATTTCTAAATAGCTAGATTCCTAGATTCCTAGATTCCTAGATAACTAAACAAAGCTTATCTTTAAATGATCATAAAAGCATTTTGTTTCAAAATTGTCACTGTTTACATAATTTCTAGACTTTTTTTCCATTCTACTTTAATTTCTTAGACTTCTTAGACTTTCTTAGACTCAAGCCAATAGTCTTTTTCTCTTTTCGAGCCATTTTTTTTCCTCAATTTCCCAAATTTCCTTAAGAATTGTCAATTGATTGACGAAAAACATATATAAATTCTTATAATTTCGGCTTTCTTTTCAAAAAAAAAAAAACTCTTCTGTCCTAATCTCTCATGGGAATTCCTTTCTTTTCTTCTTTTCTTCTTTTCTTCTTTTCTTTCAATCCCTTCAATGTATTCGTTTCTGTGTTGGCTGAATGAGAGATTTCACCCAATTCCATCTCTCATTTCTCAAAGTCATTCAAAAGAAAAGAAAAGAAAAGAAAGAAAAGAAAGAAAAGAAAAGAAAAAAGATAGGTCAGCACAAGTTTTTTGACAAAATTTTGGCCTTTAACTAAAAGAAAAAAAAGAAAATGAATGAGATTTTATAAAATAAAAATGACAAGAGATTTTGCTTGATTTCTGGGCATTTTTGCTCTTAAATCGAATTGCAAAACTTGTTTAATTTATTTAAAGAGATATTTCCCTGAAACCTTAAAAGATTTTAAGCAATTTTTGAATACAATTTGAACGGAAGATATGAAAATATTCAAGTTATCACAGAAAATTTCATTTTTAAAATATTTTTTAGCTTAAATTCTGGGAGTGGGACATTTGCGCACCTTTTTTCCGCACCTTGCCCATTAGCGCACCTTTTTTCGCGTTTTAAAAAGCTCTAATAGCTAATATTAACCAATTTCTATTCCAAAAGTTCTTTTTCTAGGTAATTTTAGGGCGTAGAATCGAAATTTTGACATAACAGAGCTTGTGGAACCAATTTGAAAGACAAAACGGCTAGGTCAAATTACAGAAAATTGTCGATTTTTCTCTTTGTATAACTCCGTCCGTTTGTTTCCACAAGCTCTGATATGCCAAAATTTCGATTCTACGCCCTCAAATTACCTAGAAAAACAACTTTTGGAATAGAAATTGGTTAATATTAGCTTTTTAGAGCTTTTTTACGCTTTAGAGCTTTCAAACGCGAAAAAGAGGTGCGCTAATGGGCAAGGTGCGGAAAAAAAGGTGCGCAAATGTCCGGGTGCGCAAAAAAAAGGTCGCATTTGTCCCACTCCCTAAATTCTCATATTTGAAGCGATTTTTGAATACAATTAAACACAAAAAGAAAATCTTCAATTTATCATAACAAATTTCATTTTTATTACCTTAAATTCTCCTTTTTTTCACACATCACTTTGTCCAAAACGCATTCTGATTTATTCATTTTTGGGTTTGAGGGGAATTTCTTTTTTTTCGAGGGCTTAAAGTATTTGAACACATCAAAAGAACACAAGATTTTTGATTGAATTCAGCTTTTTTCTTTTCTTTTTGTAGATAATCTTCAATAATTTTCTTAAAATTGCTTATTGTTTATTTTTTGAGTTTAAAAATGAACCCAAGAATCTCTCTTTCAGTCAATCAATGACCACTAACACAAGTGGATCCCCTTGACCAGATGACATTTTGTGCTTAGACAAACGCATCCTCTTTGGCACAGTCAATTGGCTTTATTTAGCATTTCAGTGTTCCAAGAGACCCAACCTTTCTAGTACAATGCATTCTTTTAACAACAACAACAACAACACTTTGATAACGAGAAAGTATTTCAATGTTCGCTAGAAATGGTGTGTTTCTATGTTTTTAACCTCAAAATACATCGACTTTTGTCTGGATAGTAAATTGTTGAAAGTAAATTGTTGAGTTCTGTTGAAAAGACGTCATTAAAAGAAAGAAAAAGGGAATCCCCTTCGTTTTTTCTTTTCGAGTTCAATGCATAGGTTATCATTTGTGAAAAAAAGAGAATTCTTTCTTTTTGTTGAAACAAGAGAATTCTCGTTGTTGAGGAGAAAAAAACGTTTTCCGTGAACTTAGAGCCTGTACCAGTGCCTGTACCAGTGCTTGTACCAGTGCTTGTACCAGTACTTGTACCAGTACTTGTACCAGTGCTTGTGCCAGTACTTGTACCAGTGCCTGTACCAGTGCTTGTGCCAGTGCTTGTACCAGTGCTTGACCAGTACTTGCCAGTGCTTGCCAGTACTTGTCCGTGCTCCGTCTGTACCGTCTTGTCCTACGCCGTGCTTGTACCAGTGTTGTCTGCTCCGTGCTGTCCGTGCTGTCCAGGCCTCTGGCCTGTGCCGTCTTCCGTCTTGTCCGTCTGTCCGTGTTGTCCTTGTCCAGTGCTTGTACCAGTGCTTGTACCAGTGCTTGTACCAGTGCCTAAATCTGTGCACAAGCAAACACACGCCTCTTGGAACACTGAAATGCTAAATAAAGCCAATTGACTGTGCCAAAGAGGATGCGTTTGTCTAAGCACAAAATGTCATCTGGTCAAGGAGATCCACTTGTGTTAGTGGTCATTGATTGACTGAAAGAGAGATTCTTTCCCCCATTCCTTCTCCATTTCTTCTCCATTTCTTCAACAAATCACTCCACACCGCCTGTTCTTCTTTTATCTTTTTTTTTTTGTTTTGTCTCAAATCTTTTCCAATCCATCTCAAAATGGGTCCTCGAGAAATTAAAGAAACGTTAGTAGTTTAGAAAACTTGCAAATCTTTCTTTTTCTTCTAGACGATGTTTCTTCTAGACGATTTTTCTGTTTCTTGTAGACCTTTTCCGATTCCGATTCTTCATTCATTCATTCTTCATTTTCTCTTTTCTTTGTTAAACTCAATTCACCAATTCTTTTCAATTTTACTTAGCCTATCACCGTCTACACTTTTCCCCAAATCTATCTAGCCTAGCCTACCTAGCCAAATCTTGTTTCAGCAATGAAAAAGTTTTCAAAATGATGTTAACTTCTCCGCCGATCAACTGTTAATAGTTAACTATCTTTTACCAAAGATTTAAGCAATTAATTCAACGATCAATGAATTAATTCAACGTTAGTAGTTTTGAAAACTTTCAAATCTTTCTTTTTCTTTTTCTTCTAGACGATGTTTTTTTTCTTCTGTTTCTTGTAGACCTTTTCTGATTCCGATTCTTCATTCATTCTTCATTCATTCTTCATTCATTCTTCATTCATTCTTCATTCATTCTTCATTCATTCTTCATCTTCATCTTTTGTCAAAGATTTATGCAATTAATTCTACAAAATATAAAAACTAAACTGACTCGTTTAATCGAGCGTTAGAATACGCTTAAAGCTAGCGTTAGAATAGATAGAAACTCCAAGTGGAGATACTAAACGGCAAATCAACCTTAGCGGCGATGCTTCCAAATTTCTCATAAACTCGAACATTTCAAAGAACTTTCACCAATTTCCTCCAATAGTCTCAAAGCTTTCGATTCCGACCACAAATCGATAGTCTAACTTCAACGGGTGACACAAATTTCGATCATTTTGTAAAAAGATTCATTTCTTAACGGTAATTGACAGAAATTAACAGAAAAAGTCGCGATCAAATATTTCAAAAGGCATTTTCTTGAGAAGTTCGACGCTTGTTTCTCTAACTAGCTCACGTTTTAAGCTTTCAAATGAACTCTCATATGATGGGGAATATTGTAAAGCTGTTTAGATTTCGATCATTTGTTTTCAGGGATCCGAAATGGCCATTTATCGTTAAGAGATCTTTATTAATTATTTATCGTTAAGAGATCGATAAGAACTTTAAGAGATCTCTACTAGAAATCTTCTCTAGAATCTCTACTAGAAAGTAAAAGAAGTTATTATGACTATTTAGAATAAAGAATAAATTCAGACAATAATAAATAAAAGTAATAAATGCAAACATTCTGTTTACACTATGCTTATTTATACTTTCTATTTTCATTACCGTATTTTCTGTAATAGTAGTGCGCACTACTATTTTTTCAACCCCCCTCCAGCCTGCACTACTATTACAGACTGCACTACTATTACAGACTGCACTACTATTACAGACTGCACTACTATTACAGACCGCACTACTATTACAGACTGCACTACTATTACAGACTGCACTACTATTATAGACTGCACTCATACAGCCTGCACTACTATTACAGACCACTACTAACAGACCCACTATACAGCTGCACTACTATTACAGCGCCTACTATTACAGCTGCCTACATCAGCTGCACTCTATTACAGACTGCCTCTATTACAGCTGCCTCTATTATAGCTGCTACTATTACAGAAAATACGGTATTAAAAATCGATATCTGTGGGAACTGTAATATTTAGTTAAAACTACTGTACTGATAATCGGATTCTTTTGACGCTTGTTTCCCCAACTAGCTGACGTTTTAAGCTTTCAAATGAACTCTCATATGATGGGGAATATTGTAAAGCTGTTTAGATTTCGATCATTTTTTTCAGGGATTCTTGATGAGTAAAGTATTTTGGGGAAATCTGTTCACTTTTTGGGCAAATCTGTTCACTTTTTAACCAAATCTGTTCCCAAAATTCCTTCAAATTCTCCGCTTAAACTCGATCGATCAGAAAATCGATATCTGAAGACCTAAAGCTCTGTAGGAATTGTAATATTTAGTTAAAACTATTACCCTGATAATGGGATTCTCGATGAGTACAATATTTTGGGCAAATCTTTTCCCTTTTGACCCTCAAAAATCCTTCAAATTCTCCGCTTAAATGATGCGACTTTTCACTGACATTTCACCACTTGTGATTTTCTTTTTGTTTTCGTGAAAAGTTGTCATAGAAGATGGTTGCCTCATAATCTCTTTTCCATTCTTCGTTCTCTTGATTTCTTGTGCTTCTTGTGTGTCTTTTGCCATCTTTTCCATATGAAATGCAATCCTTTCACCTACTTTTGCTCATTTTTTCCCGATTCGAACCGTTGTTGAACTCGACGCTCTATCCAGATTTCAGTGAAAAGAAAGAAAAAAAAGAAAGAATGAAGATGGAGATCTCTTTGCTTTTTTTTCTTTTTTTTGGGAAAACTCGATGGACACCTTGGGAAAATCTTCATTGAATCTAGAAGAAATCTTGAAAAAAAACAGCAAAGCTCTTGTTTTTCTTGTTTTTCTTCAAGCTAATACCTTTATCTTTGTACATTTTTATATAAATTTTTCATCTGTTTTCAAAGTTTTACAATTTTAGATCAAAAGAAATTCAGTCTTAATGCAAAAGAGATCATTGGCGATCAAATTCTCGTGATCTCTTCATTCATTTCCTTCATTTCTTCATTGATTTCTTCATTCATTTCTTCATTTCTTCATTTCTTCATCGAATTTTCAATTCCACCATTTCAATTCGACTTTCTTTTTTGGAATGGCTGAATCATCGCCCGAATGTTTGGATGATGTTTTCTTTTCGAACGGAAATTCTCCGCGAGAAAAACGTGGCAGAAGAGCTGTCAGATGGATGTCGGTTAGGGAAAAACCGACAACTGAACCGCCACCAGATGAAATAAATGGAAGAATGAGGAAAGGGCATCGAAGATTGAAAAGAACGGGAACTGCACCGGCAGGGACGGGTTAGTTTTCGATGAAAAAAAGAAGATGAAAGATAGGTAGCCACGGAATTCAAGAAGTGATTCTAAAGGCAATTCTTCCGGGCAATTCAAAAGCAAGTTTGAGCTTGACTTCTGGCCAATTTCTGACTTCTGGCCAAGCTCCAGGTCAGATCGATTAAAGCATCCAGCATCGGCAAAGGCTTAGGACTTAACAAAGTTATACAGGGGTTTATAAGTTTACTCTGAAAATAAAGCAAACATTTGAAACGCTTGAATTTCATGATTATTAAAGCAAAGAAAAGTCGTGTGGATTTGTGAATTTGCTGAAAAATCTTAGAAATCTTTACCTTTTACTTGAATCTTTTCCTTTCGACTAATGTTTTTACAAAAATAATTCGAGCTTTAAGCTTCGAAATCCGTTTTTAATTTGGAAATTCAGTTGTGCATTTTTTGACTTTTTCCATTTCAGCTATAGAGTTCACGATGTTAGACGCTGAATATTCTGAAAACTTTGTGCAAAGGTGCAATATCTGATCTCTTCTCTTCTCATCTCTTCTCATCTCTTCTTGTTTCTTCTCTTCTTGTTTCTTTTCTTTTTCTCTTCTCATCCACTCAATTCTCATGGGGATTTATCCTCCTTTTTCCTTTTTTTTTTTTCATTTCTATTCAATTCTGGTTAAACACCGCAAATTTCAGTTCGTTAGTATTGGGTTGGGGAGAATGAGTCGGCGCCGAAAATCAAAAAAATGTCTAAAACTTCTATTCGACTTCGTCAAATAATATGCGTTTGATATCAGTAGAATGGTTAACTAATTCTCTACAAAATGACATTTAAAAGAAAATTCAAACAGCGCCTCCGCTCAAGAAAAAGCCATTTTTTCACAAAAACTACAAACTGTGATCTAGAAAAAACCATTGGTGGGATCTTCCTGCAAATTTGGCAACTTAAGTAATTGAATGTGCTCTATCTTTTTTATATAAACACCAAAGGAGGTTTATGTGAAAGAAACTGTTCAAATGATGAGTCGGACTCTTTGCCATTTTAACCAGCTGCCTTTGGAAGTTCATAAACTCCACGAAAGAAAAGCTTTGTGGAATCTCTCAAAAGTGATTTTGTAGAGAAATAGTGGATCCTTTGAATCATAAACTCCACGTGAAACCAAACGTATGTTTAAAGAAGGCTTTATGTGTGCAAAAAGTCCCTTTAAAGTTGGGCGCCGACTCATTCTCCCCAACCCAATAGATAAAAAATGAAAGGGAAAAAAAGGGTGAAGAGGATCTTAACGGGCTATAACTCGTTCAGATTTTTACCCTAAACTTCAAGACGAGTAAATCAAGATGATAAACGAAAATTGTGTGCTTTTAGCTTTCGAATAGCTTTCGAATAGCTTTAGAAATTGATTATTGAAGAATTTTTCTCCAGCAAAAGTCTTTTAACTAGAGGTTTTTCTGGAGGTAAAAAGAGATAGAGGTAAAAAGTGAAAGAGAAAAGAGAAAAGAGTGATTGCAAGAAGATTACCGTTCAGATTTTCACGCTAAACTTCAAGACGAGTAAATCAAAATAATTCTATGCTTTAGAATTGCTTTAGAATTCGATTGCTTTAGAAATATTTAATAATTTTTCCCTTCGGTTTATTCAATTTAGTTAAACTAGAGGTTTTTCTGAAGATTTTTCTTTTTTTAGCAGTTTTTTTTTGTATAAATTTAGAAAATGGGAAAGTTTTTAAAAGAAAAATAAAAAAGAATAAAATGTGAATTGAAAGTGTTCATTGAATAACTTTCAATTCAATACTTTAGAAAAAGAAAATGAGAGAATGATGAGAGAAAATGGGAGAAAATTTCAGGCGCGGGCTCAGATCTCTACTCGCATAACTTTCTCTCCGTTCCCGCCAGCATTTCCGGTTCGTTTTTTTTTCTTTTTCTTCTTCTTCTTCACCTTCTACCTTTTTTTCAATCCTTTAAATCACTTCATAACCAATTTTTAAAAGATCCTTCTTTACCTAACTCTATCTTTACTAACTCTATCTTTATTAAATCTATCTTTATTAAATCTATCTTTACTAAATCTTTCTTTACTAAATCTTTCTTTACTAACTCTATCTTTATTAAATCTATCTTTATTAAATCTATCTTTACTAAATCTATCTTTACTAAATCTATCTTTATTAAATCTATCTTTATTAAATCTATCTTTATTAAATCTATCTTTACTAAATCTATCTTTATTAAATCTATCTTTACTAAATCTACTTTTAAACACTAAACTACTACTAAACACTAAAACACTTTAAAATCTACACAAACCTTAAAATCATCTTATAAATCATCTTTATAAATCTATCTTTATAAACATCTATTAAACCTACTAAACATCTTTATAAACTATCTTTACTAAACTATCTTTACTAAATCTATCTTTATTAATCTATCTTTATTAAATCTACTTTACTAAACTATCTTTATTAAATCTATCTTTACTAAATCTATCTTTACTAAATCTATCTTTATTAAATCTATCTTTACTAAATCTTTCTTTACTAAATCTATCTTTATTAAATCTATCTTTACTAAATCTATCTTTACTAAATCTATCTTTACTAAATTTCTCTTGTGCTCTTTACAATCTCTAGCACACTTGTTTCTTCATTTTAATCATTCCAAAAATGTATCTTATTTATAGCTACCGTAAATACTGTAATAGTACCCTACCCCCATAATGACGGCCGGAGCATCGCGTAGTCTAGCTTTGAATGAGTTTTTCTCGACACTGGTTTATGCTACAATGCGCGCTTTGGTATCAAAAAATAGCCCTGAATTTCAGCTATTTTTTGATATCAAAAGACGGAGCATCACGTAGTCGAACTTTAAACGCATTTTTCTCGTCATGCTTTTATAATGACGGTGCGGAGCGTTGCGTAGTCTAGCTTTGAACGAGTTTTTCTCGACACTGGTTTATGCTACAATGCGCGCTTAGGTATCAAAAAATAGCCCTGAATTTCAGCTATTTTTTGATACCAAAGACGCATTTTTTGAAAGTACGGGCGATTTGAAAAAAAATGAAATACTAAAAAACTTTTGCGACTACGCGACTGTACGAGGAGAATAGGGTACTATTACAGTATTTACGGTATATAATATCAAAGAATAGAATAAGAAGAAGTACAAGAGTATGATAGTTTTTAAAATTTAATATCTTTTAGAAGAAAGGACTAGAAAAGCTTTGTTAAATGATGAATTTCAGGTCGAACTTCTCCTTCGGTGGCATCAATGACATCTGAGCCAGAATCATGCATTGATGACACACATTTTATGAATGATGATGATGATATCCCTGATGGATTGATTGGTAGATTTATTTTATTGAAAAAAAAAATACCTTTCATTGAAAGATTTAAAGAGAAAATGAAGTTAAAAGAACTAAATCTGATCTTGCATATTGTTAACAAGATCGGGAATAACAAACAAAGCTAACAAAGCTTTTTGTGAAGTTTTGCATGTTGCATGTTAGTTCGATTGATTTAGATTCTATTGATTATTGATTTAGATAAAGAAAAGATTCTCATTCGATCATTTAATCTCATCAAAATCGATCAAACGCTGAGCTCTCTTTTATGAGATTCGCGTCAATTTTGTGTTGTTCACTGGAAAAGAATGATGTAAGGGAACACGGGGAGAAAAACTTTACAGCAATGAACAGATGAAAGATAAAGAAGAAGAAGAAGAAGAAGAAGAAGAAGAAGAAGAAGAAGAAGAAGACACAATTGATGCCCACCCTCCCCAGGAAGTAGGCAAAAGAGAAAGGAATGGAGGCATGACCTGTAAGTCCTCTTGCACAGCTATTGCCTAGCTCTCGTTACACCCTCACCTTTCAAATGAAATGGAATGGCTTTCCAGGGAACAGCTGACTCCATATTCATCTCTCTTTTGGAAACATTCACGTGGATTTCCTTTTGCTTTTCTCTTTCTTTTCTTTCTTTTCTTTCTTCTCTTTCTTTTCTTTCTTCTCTTTCTTTATCCTTTTCTAATCAGCTAGAAACATGGATCATTTGTTGGATGATAGACTCATTTGTCTATCTCCTTTCTCTTTCCAATCTTTTCTCATCCATTTCACTTCCAAAATATATAACAATGTTAACATCAAGAGTTTTAACATCAATTTTCTGAATCGATTTTCTGAATCGATTTTCTTGATCGCTTTTCTTGATCAATTTTCTTGATCAATTTTCTTGATCGATTTTCTTGATCGATCCTTTCAATACAATTTTTAGATCAATCAGTATTGATTGATTGATCGTTGTGATTGATTTCACATTCCTAATCAATTCTCCCAATCAAGATCAATCGTTTTTTCTCAATCAGAATCAATAGCAACTCCAGAAAAGAATCAGAGTTGAGAGGTCAGAGGAAAAACTTGAGAAATATGTAAAAAGGCCTGAGTTTCACAGCTTTCATGAAAAAGAGGAGAAGAGGGTCCTTCATGAGATCCACTTTGGATATGTAAGAAAAGAGAAGGGAAAAGAGGAAAGGGGGGCAAGCATTTCCCCACGGACCCCTAGGGCCCCTCCTCTCTCCTATCTCGTGGGCGCGAAAAGATGTGTGACTGAAGGTTTCAGAAGATGTCCCTCCCTTCTTCTTCTTCTTCTTCTTCTTCTTCTTCCTCTCTCTTCCTCTTCTTCTTCCTCTTCTTCCTCACCTCCTTTTCCCCATTGAATATTCTTGTTTCTTTTCTTTCTTCACATATCCATACATGCATTTTTTTCAATCTCGAAACCTCCAATCAAAGAATTTTCTTCACTCAATTTGCCTTTTTTGACTCATTGCTGAATATTCTACAAAATTCTTTTCAATTTTTGAAAAAATCTCTAACAAACAAATGTTTGTTATCATAAACATATCATTCATTCATTTGTGGTTAACTTTTAAGGAACATAAACATAAATCTCTATCAAAAAACTCACATTGAAGCAATTTTCTTTCGATATTTCACCTAAATACTATCATTTTCTTTTTCTATCATTTTCTT